CATGCAAGATTGTACGTTTATATTTTTATTACCAAGGTAATTAAGAGAGGGTTATTACACAAGCTGATTGCATACGGTAATGTACAGCACATTCACAGGAGGTCTTCATTGGATTCTGCAATGATAGTTCGGATTGTGTGCCAAACTGTAAGGGGAAAGGCTTTCATCATGGGTATTGCATACCGACACCAACCAATAAATGTTTCTGTTACAATAACTAGTAGTACGATTCTTATAAAGTCAATAAAATTTGTTTGATATTATATTTTTATAATAAAAGTATATTTTGTCTATTCTTGTATTCCCTCTTTTATTATGAATCTCAATAAAATTGATATAGATTATATATGTTATGTTAAATCTCAAAGTTATACATTTGTTAAATTTTTTAGTTGTTTAAAGTCGAAAGAAAATTATATATGTCATCAGCTTGGGCCTTAGAATATATGAAAATTGATCTCTTAGTTTAAAAAAGGTATGCTTTCATTCAAGTGGCTACCAAGTAACATCTCATATATACCACTATGATTTTTCGTATAAATACATACGTTTTACGTGTTATGGAAACATTCTCAAGTGGTTTTTTTACATAGTATAAGAAGCTATCGTTATGTAATTTTCCAAGCTCTTCGAGCAAGAGAAAATTTTGCATCTCGAAAACGAATTCATTCTGAGCTAATGACAAATGTTACAAAGTGAACATGAAAACAACTCTTCTATCATAATATGGTTTCCTAGTTTTGAAACTTTCAATGCTAAGATACTACACACCAAGGATTAACATTGGAGATTTTATATCATTGGAAGATAAAACTTATAAAAATTTAATTCCACTTTGTTATTGTACTCATTGTTGATTTAGCATTATGTGATAACGAATTATATAAAGAATAAAACTTAATTCATATCAAGTTGTTATATTTAAATTAATCAATGTAATTGATTTCAAAGATTATCCAATTAATAAATTCAATTACATGAATAGGATAACATAATAACCTTTTACAGTTTTTATAGTAAAATATAAATTCATAAAATATCAAAAACACATTTCTTTTTGTTGTATTTATTCTTCCGTCCCCATCTTGTTTCTCATTTAATCATCATGTACTCTTTTATTTGAAGAATATGAAGAAGAAAAAAAATTATAAAAAATATATATTAATATTTAACTTTCTATAATTATGCATGTAATTGTATATATAAACCAGAGCATATATTAACTTGAAATTGGTACAAAACTAATACCAACATGTATCAATCGAAAAATGTTGATACCATTTAAGTTGGTACATGATATAAGATTTTGTTTATTAATTATAATTGATTAGAACATAATATCAAAGACTGCTTGTAAAAGAAATTCTCATATATGAACAAATCAATGATCATTTAAACCCAGAAACATGTCTCCCAACAAAACCCTATTCAAGAAAAAGGGTATATAGATTGTAGAAATCAACAAAATAAGGTTTGTACATTGCACCTATTGTATGTATAGTAATGATATATGATATATATATATATATATATGTATATATATATATATGTATATATATATATATATATGTATATATATATATATATGTATGTATATANATATATGATATATATATATATATATGTATATATATATATATGTATATATATATATATATATGTATATATATATATATATGTATGTATATATATATATGTATATATATATATATATGTATGTATACTAACAACTAATAGACTTCTTGGCATTGACTTCTCGTATACGAAGACCGCCACAAGGTGATGAAAAAACTTGTGCCGGAAACTTTCCTTGCGAATTTGACCCCAAGAAAGAACCGTGATGATCTATTTGGGCCACTCTTTCTGGATGTCGAAAGTGTAGTTCAGATCCAAATAGCACTTGTTGTCATCGTCAAGGAACTGGATTGAATCCAAATGGAACGGGTTTAACACAGATGAAATAAATAAAGATCGATTGTGTCTACTACCCAAGAATAGTTTCTTGATTGGCATCAGTTTTTCATTGGACAAAATACGTCAAAATGCAATGAAGTTTGCCAACAAGTACTTTTTACATATTGACCAATAACTTGTTTTTGTAACATTTGCTGATGTGAATGTCAAGTCTATCATCCTTTCACTAAAACCCTTTTCGTAAATATTTGCTAAACCTTTCTTAAACTTGGTTCCACGTCTATGTTACAAGATTCTTATATTACCGGTTAAAATAGGTATAAAATAGGAAGATTTTGAAACTTTATAACATCAATTGAGAAAAAAAAAATCTTCATTACAGTAAATAGGAACTAAACCGAACTTTGTTGCATTTTGAGTCATTTTACCCTTTTTCATTCAGCAGACACAAGAAAGCACAAATCTTGATATTTATATCGAAGCACGTAAAAGCTAGAAAAGCACAAATTTTGACATTGACCAAAACATCAGCATATGCAAAAAAAAAACACAAGTCTTTGTTTCTCCAAGCATTTGTAGACTGAGGGCACACAAATCTTGATGAAAGCATCAATAAAACCAAATCAAACCAAACGAATCCAATATGTCCACTGCCCCACGGGGTAGAAAGGTTGTTTCCATAAAGACCCTCCACTATACATAACATAAATCTTTAGGGGACGTTTGGTTTGGTGGAATGATTGAGGGATTTGGTTTTTGTGAAAAGATTTGGAATTGAAGGTTGGATTTGGAAAATTTTGGAATATCCGATGCATTTGATTTGTAGGATTTGAAATGGAATTGAATTCCATTGGTTATAAAAATAAGAGTAAACTACAATTTTGGTCCCTATGGTATACATGAATCTCTAAAAATGGTCCCTAGACTTCAATAACTACAATTGTCGTCTTTACTGTTCACATTTTGCTTTGAAAATAGTTCCTCGACTTAACTCTGTTAAAAAAATCATCCGGTTAGGGATATTTTCGTCTTTTTCACTTTTCCAAGGATAAACTATAAAATTTTGTTTAAACTGCAGGGACCAAATTGTAACTTACTCCAATTTATATTGATACTATATTAATATATATACCTATATACATACATACATACGCACACCACAATTTAACCACCATCCAACGACCAAGACGACCATCTCCACCATCCTCAGACCCTCTCAGCCCCACCATATTTTTTCGACCACCTTCGTCTTCACCATGTCAACTTTAACCATGCTTATCTCCGGTGACCAAGCAGCCATGTCCAGCGTCTCAGCCCTCTTTCCCCCATCACTACCCATCTCCATTCCCCTCGATGCCATTTGCGTTGTTTGAGTGTTCATCGAGCCATCTGCAACCTCCCACCTCCCTCCACCTCGTAGCTGCTACAGTACCCACAACTTCCAAACACCGAGACATATGTTGCAGGTGGGTTCTGTTTTCATCGAGCCATAGGTTGCAGCTAGGTTGTGTGTTCATCGAGCCATATGTTGCCGGTGGGTTGTGTGTGTATGTTGCAGGTGTTGTATGTGTGTGATGTGTGTGCTATATTGGGGGTGTGATGTGTGTGTTGTATTAGGCGTTATGTGTGTGTTGCGAGGAGGCTAGAGGTCGGCATTGATCGCCGGTGGGCTGAGGGAGAAGGGTGATCACCGGTGGGTATAGGGAGATGGCTGATCGCCAGTGAGTTTACTGAAAGGGGTGACCGTGGAGGAGGTATATATATATACACACATATTAATATTAAATATATATATATATATATACACATATATTCATATGTTTGTGTATGATTACATATATATATATGTGTGTGTGTGGGAGAGAGAGAGAGAGTAAAGACAAAAAAGGATTTACAGGTCCTTCCTCTTTGATTTGAGTAAAGACAAACAAGAAAATGACAAAAAAGGGTAAAAGGACGAAAGTATCCCTTAGTTAACTGAGTTTTTTAACAAAGTTAACGACCGGGGACTATTTTCAAAACAAAATGTAAATAATAAGGACAATAATTGTATTTGTTGAAGTCTAGGGACCACTTTCAGAGATTTGTGTAAACTACCGGGAACAAAATTGTAGTTTACTCTAAAAATAATTAAATTACTATTTTATTAACTGAATATTACAAAATGTTTTTAACATATTTTAAAACATTAGCATATACAAATCCTATGAAATCCAATGAAATACCAACCACCCCCAGGGATTTTGTGTGATTTCAAATCCCTGAAATCCTTCAAACTGAACATGGGATCAGAATAGAATCCAATTCCATAATCCCTCCAATCCATTTCCAATCCTACAAACCAAACGGGACCTTAATGTTTCTCAAAACAACGGCAGAAGCGAGAAAGTCCAAATGATGCTTCTCAAAGCATCGGTAGACATGAGAAAAGCACAAATCTTGATGTTTCTATAAGCATCAGTAGATGCAAGAGTGCACAAGTTCGAGTTATTTAGTTAAATGATCTTCTATGAAAGTCATTTTCAGGCCAACCTTCAAGTTTTTTCAAAGATATTACACGGGCAAGGCGTTTTACACCATAGGCATGGCGTTTAACATTAGAGGCAGGTCATTTGAAGGTCATTAAGTTAAATTTTTATTACTAAAAGATATGCTACTAATTAAAAGCTCGTTTTAAGGTCATTTAACTAAATGATAGCACAAATTCTTGATGTTTTCTGAATAATATTTTATTATGGGTTTGTTTGTTAGCTGCCTAATGAGCTTAATGAGACTCGTGGCTCATTCCGCCAGCTATACATGATTGTTTGGTAGTGGCTTAATGATATAGAAGGTGGCTTTTTCGGTAAGCTTCTAGGGGGAGCTTTGTGCAGAAAGCCAAGTTTTTTGCAAACCTGCCTTCCCAGTTAAAAAACATGGTCCTTCCATCTACGGAGAAAACCCTCCCAGATAAAAAGTTTCCTACTCTGTACAAACATATTAATCCACACAGACAACTTCATTCATACATGACTTAATGGAAAACCAATCAAACAGCCCTTAAGTATTAACTGAGGTGAAGTCATTCTTACCTTAGTGTTTGCCGAGTATGATCCTCTAGCAAACATACCCGAAGGAGTAGTTTCTTCCGTCATCACATGTATGTAAGGCTCAGCTTGAGGGCTAAAAGTTCCAAGCATCTGCTTCGAGCTGTCAACTACAATGAAAACAATTTGTAGCATAAAAGGTCAAAAACTTTATCCACTAAAACATGATTCTAAGGTAGCATTTGGTACGCAGACTAGATAGGACAGGACGGGACGGGACGGGACGAGACGGGACAGGACTAGACGAGACGGGACGGGACTAATTGGGTTTTGAATCTCAATTGGTCTAAGGGTAACATAGTCATTTTATATTTAGTCCCATGTTGTTCCACCTTTTTTGGTGGAACAAAAATTATCAAGTTTTGTCCCATGAAATTTAAAAACAGTCCCATCTTGTCCTATGTATATTTTGTCCATGGCATGCCAAACGTGGGACTATTTTTTTTTGTCCCGTCCCGTCCCATGTAGTCTGCGTATCAAACGCACCTAAAGGAATTAGAGTGGCAAAAGACTATACCCTTGATACCAGTTTTCCAGACAGTATTGGTATACTTGAGCCCACAAACTATGTTATTGCTGACCTTGAAGGAGAATCTCAGATTGTATCTACTACCTTCTTTTAGGGTAAACCAACGTCCCTTTGGGTTCCCCGACTCGGGGATCTCAAGTACGATATCGGGTCTATCAGCAGTGACTATGGCAAGGCTGATTATCTTCACATCAGGTTCTTCAATTTCTAATAAAAACCGATTAAGGTACATGTCAGCTATGAGCGTATGACATATAATGTAGCATGTCATTTGGCATCAAAATCGTTTAAAATTTGCATAAAGCATGGATCAGATTTCTTCATATTGTGCAGTACAAACCACAAATGGAGGGTGTGTACCAAGCCTTATAAACCAAAATTGTATCTAGCTACTTCTATGATGCAATACAACGTTGTATGTTGAATGGGGTGCCCGATAAAGCATGTTTATCTGGGGCCATTACTTGAATCATTTTTCTACCTGTTATATTTCCCGATTACCTGATATATTAAATCACAACATGGTGGCTTATTGTAACATCTTAGGCTAACCGTACCAGATATTGTCCGCTTTGTCCACACACCTAGACTAACGGTTTCAAAAGGCGTCTGATAGAGGAGGTATCCAGTCCCTTATAAGACAACCTTTGTTCCCCTCCCCAATTGAGGTGGGATCTTACAATCCACCCCATGGAAGCCCAGTGGGGACGTTGGCGCACCAGTCCGGTTCTTGGCTCTAATACCATATGTAACATCTCAGACTAATCGTATCAGATATTGTCCGCTTTGTCCACACACCTGGACTCACGGTTTTAGAACGCGTATGATAGATGAGATATTCAGTCTCTTATAAGGCAACCTTTGTTCCCCTCCCCAACTGATGTAGGATCTTACACTTATAAAGTCCGCAAGTGTGGGTATTTTGCCAAACAAGAACCAGATAGCATTCATCTTCAACATTGCTAATCATGCATGGACACGTCTACACGTGATATGCAATCCTTTTAAGAGAAGCGATAATGCTTAATGACAGCAAACACAAGGCCACATAGAACGAGACCCCCGCATAAGGTTTTCGTATCAATTGGGCCATGTCAACGACGCATCAGGATCAAGGAAGAGGGCAAGCGCCGGGTCTTGCAGGCCGACATTCTATCTAGCTAATCCCGTGATAAAATATCATGTTCTTTTTGAAGCATATACTCCATCCATCCCATAATAAGTGTCCACTTTCAAAAGTAAGTATTTACTTTCCAATTTTACCCTAAATTATAAGATGTAGTCATGTAGAAATTCATCACTCCCTCAATATAAAGATACTATAAGCAGGTCCGTTCCTGACATTTTATAGGCCCTGGGCGAACATAAAAGCAGGGCCCACTGCAAGAAATAAGGCTTTTGACAACGACTTTTGTTGTCGCTAAAAGTCCATTTATGATCAGAAAGAGTATATAACAACATGTCGTCGCTATAACTTGTGGCGGAATGTCTCGCTAAAAGGTGCATCGTCTAAGCTCACTTTTCTTGTAGTGACCCTCGGTAAGTATGGAAACAAATTCAATAAATGTTTTTCATTAGTATAAAATTAAGTACAAGAAATGCTAATAATTTACTGAGGAAATAAATCTTATTTATCTTTATTATAGATATATAAGAGAGTACTTAAAATTTACGTACTTCTTATTAGGTAATTTAAAACCAAGAGTACAGAAACTATGGTTGATAATTTTTTTATAAAAAGTAAGAATATTTTTAGTTCATAACAAGAAATATGTGTTATTTTGATATAAAAAGAAAATTCGTGTAAATGAAGTAATCGTGAGGGTCAATGAGAGATCAATAATAAAGAGAATTATCAAGTTTTTCTAGACAAATGAGGATCAATAAGAATATGAAATAAAAGATGATCCATTGAAATCCAATAAGAATAAATAATGAATTAAACATATAATATGCAAGCTCAACAAATGATTGTTTGAGCACTTAAATAGAATCTTGTGGTGTGGTGGAATCCCAATGAAAGATACATAAGTCAAACAATTGATGAAAATATTTAAATTCTATTTTTCTTCTTTATTTGCTCAACTGAAATAAGATGTTAAGATTAAAAGTTTATGGAACATGACATATATAAGAGACATTACTAAATACATCTAGTAGAAAAAATTTATTGATTAATCACAAAACAATTGAAACATGTCATAAATTATAAGAACAATAGATTGATGGTCAAACAATAGTAAAATATTTTATGTAGAAGCAAAAAAAGATAACAATAGTCAACAAAAACAATTAGAACAACATAACCAAGTAGCAATAGTCAATAGAAGCAGAAATTGATAAAAATATCCAACAGAAATATATAGCAATAGCAAGCACATGATCTTTACGTTGAATTGTTGAAGTACGAAAACAGTCAAGCATATAGAGATAGCAATAGCCAATATCATTGGACCTTGTTGGAGATAAAAAAAAACTAGAGAGGCAATAAACAACAGCATATAATGAATGACTAATTAATTTTTTTTATTTTCCTCTCAAATGTAATTAGTTGATATATTTTTGGGCCCTTATTGTCTACGAAATTATTTTTGTGTATTATTATATGCTACAATTTTTTGGATTTCTTTAATTTATTAAATTCTTTTTTACTACCATTGTATTTTAAGGGAAAATTTTGGGCCCCTGATATTTTTGGGCCCTGTGCGCCCATACCGCCCTCCCCCAGGGACGGCCCTGACTAGAAGGGTACTCGCACAATGCAGCAAGATACATCTCGATTTTATTGTTTTGTTTTATCTTTTTGTATCAATCGATGTTATGATACAGTTTTATGTGGTTTTGAGAAAGTGATAATGTTTTTATTTTTGAATAAAATATAAATACGAAGATATCATAAATAATTAAAAATATATTGATATTAGTACCAAACTAACTATTTAAAATTTCTCGTTTTTTGTATATTTCTTTAATGCATTTCTTTTATTTTTTGGTTTAATAATATAATATTTTTTATAAAGATAATAATTAACTATTTTGTTAGAACTCAATGATTACCCTAATTATATTTTAGATTTTTATAGTTAAAATGGAATGTTTATCCTCCATTTGATAATGTTTATCTGCAGTTAGTTACACGAATTCAAACATGAAACTCTAATAACGTGTACTTACACATTATTTACTTGTAATCTTGAATTTTAAGTAATATGCATCAATAAACAGTACCTCATGCATAAAAATGGTTTTTAAGAGTTTTTATCAAATGCTTTATAATATAGTATAGAATATTATTAAACCAAAAATAAATTATTTCGTCATTAAACCTAAATTAATTATGATAAAAAAATTGAATTAAAAATCATACACAAAAAAATGAAAACTTTTATATATTTTTTAATTTTCATGATATCTTCAAATTTATATTTTATAAAGAAAAACATTATTGACGGCTCAAAACCACATAAATTCGTATTATAACATCGACAGAGACTAAAAAATGAAATGAAACATTGAAATCGAGATATATCTCGCTGCATTGTGCGACTACCCTTCTAGTTTTACTAACGAGGTTAAATTATTATTATTTTATACTATAAGAGTATTCGTACAATGCAGCGAGATACATCTTCATTTTAATTTTTTTTTTTTTTGTATCTGTTGATATAATACGGTTTATGTGGTTTTGAAAAAGATAATGTTTTTACTTTTGAATAAAAATAAATTTAAAAAAATATATCGATATTAATATCAAATTAACTATTTAAAAATTCTCGTTTTTTAATACAATTTCTTTAAGGGAAAAGTCTAAAAAACCCAATGGACTTTAGTGTTTGGAATGATTAAGTCATTGGAAATTTTTTTGGAACAAATAAATCCTTGGACATTCCAAAACCTATTAAATAACTCCTTGGACTTTCTAAAACCTGTTAGATACATCCTTATAACCTATAAAACTTGTTAATATGATAAAATAATGGAAAACATCTACAAAAAAAACCGAATGGACTTTCATATTTTGAACGATTAAGTTACTAAACATTTTTTGAAAAAAAAGTACTTACATCTATAAAGTGAAATAAATATACCAAAAAGTATTTATATTTACAAAAAAGTACTTACATTTAAAAAAAATTATTGATGAAACTTATTTTAATTAAAAACAAAAAATATTTTATCAGTGATTTTCCAAATGAAAAAATAAAAAAGGATTCAAAAAAATTACTGATTAATTTATTTTAATTAAAAATAAAATATATTTCATATATGATTCTTAAATTAAAAAAACTAAAAAAGATTTAAAAAGGATTGCTGATGAAATTTATTTTAGTTAAAAATAAAATATATTATGTTGGTGATTTTTTAAATTAAAAAAATAGAAAATAATTTGATTAAATTACTGACGGGTTAACGATAAAATTTAACTAAATACATAATTATTATTTTTTTCTTTTTGAAGTATATAATATTTATATACGGCAAATGCAACAAATAAACTCACACACCCTCCTCACCTATGGTGAGGTTTGAACCCCTGACCTCCTAGAAGGCCAAGGGCTACGATACCGCTAAGCCAAAGGCCCTTTGGTTAAATACATAATTAATTAAAATTCATCGCTAATGTTCATTGGTATATATGCATGGATTACTTATATCTAATTGATGGCTAACTTGACCACCGTTAGGCGCTCTAACACAGTAACATGTTAATAAGTGTGAGAGATCGTGCTTGAATCTTGTCGGTGATATCATTTCACCAACGGATTAGTGACGAATTTTATTTAATTATGTATTTAGTTAAATCTTATCGTTAATTCGGTCAGTAATTGAATCAAATTATTTTCTATTTTTTTAATTTGAAAAATCAACAACATATTCTTTTTTAAATCTTTTTTTATTTTTTTATTTGAAAAATCATTGACAAAAAATATTTTATTTTTAATTAAAATATATTTCATCAATAATCTTTTTTTAAATGTAAGTACTTTTTGTAAATGTAAATATTTTTGTGGTATATTTATTTCATTTTATAGATGCAAGTACTTTTTTGGTTTAAAAAATGTTTAGACTTAATCTTTCAAAATATGAAAGTCTATTGGCTTTTTTCCAGATTTTTTTCATTATTTTATCACATTAACCAGTTGTATAGGTCATAAGGATGTATCTAACAAGTTTTGGAATGTCTAAGGAGTTATTTAATAAGTTTTGGAATGTCCAAAGACTTATTTGTTCCAAAAAATTGTCTAAGGACTTAATCATTCCAAACACTAAAGTCCATTGGGTTTTTTAGGCTTTTCCCTTTCTTTAATTCAATTTTGTATTATAATTTAATTTAGATCAAATAGTGAAATAATTTGTTTTTGGCTTAACAGTAAAATTTTTGCAAAGATAATGATTCTGTTAGAACTCAATGATTATCCTAATCATATTTTAAATTTTTTATATTTAAAATGAGATATTTATCTTGTATTTGATTATGTTTATCTGCAGTTAGTTATACGAATTCAAAAATAGAGCTTTAATAAGTTGTACTTATGCACAATTTACTTGTAATCCTAAATTTTAAGTATGCATTAATACACAGTACTTCATGCATAAAGAATAGTTTTTAAGAGTTTCTGTCAAATGTTTTATAATATAGTATAGATAATTGTCGTTTAGTAAAATAAGAAGTGTAACAATTACACATTTCTTAAACTAAGTGCCTTTTTCACCGTGGACATTTATTTTGGGATGGAGTGATTAATATCTATATAAAATATACTGCAAATACTCGCACACTCCTCATCTTTAGTGAGGTTTGAACCCTTGACCGCCAGGGAGGTTGGGCTCTGCTCAATGACCCTATTCTATGTTGAAATCACAATGTCAAAACTAATAAAGCATGGTTAAATGGTTTGGTTTTTGTATAAAGATATCAACCAGTTGAGCATTACTTGGGCTCTCGGCTATAATAAAGAATGTTAAGCATGTTGATGTGGCATTGTGTTTGTTGTCAATGAGCAGGTGTAGCCAAAGTATGTGCCATTAAAATCAAAGAAAATGACACACAAATACCTGCAACCGCATTGACATCAACACTTCCAAGCAGCTGCTCCTTCCACCTCCTCAAGCTCTCGTCATCCTGAACCAACAACACGCATATAATCAAGAAATGCATAAAAGCAAAACATAACGATTTTCTTTTTTGGGACAAGAAAGTAAGAACCTTATCCTTCTCAAGATGCTCTTTAATGCTTATCTTGGGACCCAACTCTATTTGGGCATCTTCATCATCCTCAGTCGCATAAATGGAGCTTTCACTTGCCTCTCTACTGAGAACCTCTCCAGATTCAGAGGCATCGTCTTTTTTTCCATCTTTCCCTTCATTTTTATCATCACCCATGTTGTCTCTGAATCTGAGAAGAATGCACAATCTTTAAGAACACCCACAAAATGCTACCAGTAGATACAATGAAATGAGAAACAAGGAACCAAAATTGTTTTAGAAAAATGACCAAATCGTAGAAAATCATTCAAGAAACAGAAGAAAAACTTGTATAGGTTGAAAAGATTATCAATAAATGATCCAATCTTTAAAATACCAACAGAATTGTAACAATAAATATAACTAGCCAACATAAAGCAACCAAAATTATTCAAAAAAATGGCCAAAAAACTTAAATTTTCAACAAGCACCATACGATTTTGGGTAGCTACGTTGAAAAGATCATCAAAAAAAGGCTTTAATCTTTGAAATAGCCACTAAAATGTATCAATGGCTACAATTAATCACATGAAAGCACCCAGCATGGTAAAATGATGACAAATGAGATAACCACAATAGAAATCGATTTGGAAAAGCCCTAATCAGGATACCTGTATGGGTGAAAAGGAATACGAACAAGTAATGATGGGTTACACCACCACAGAACCTTCAATTAACACACGGATCGGCATGAATTTGTTCACAGAATAGCACCCAGACAAAGAATGTGTAAATTGTTGAAAAATTATTGTTTGATTGAAGAGAGAGGGGGGGGGGGATTGTTCGACTGAAATTGAAATGGACGAAATGGTCATGTGGTGATCCGGATATGGTGAAGATCATATAACGAATGTTATGTGCGCAAAGATTGGGCAAAAAAAATCAACGATTACCAGGTTTTATGGAGCATGAGTCTTCACCTAAATTTGGGGGGATACATGGCAGTTTCGCATTACTGAAAACCTCCATCTTCACCGCATTGGTCTGTGTAAGCTTCTGTTACAGTCACCGTCATTATGTGGTGGCTCCGGCGACCGGCGTAGTCACCGTGGTGGCATATGACCACCGTGGTCCATGGATTTTTTCACCAGAAAGTTTGCATTTGTGGGTTTAGGGTTTCCAGATTTGAACACCACAATTTTGTCGATTTCCCACCAAATTGATTATTGCTTCATAATTTCATATTTATATATCTTTTTTTATTTCGGTGATTGTTAGATATTTTTTATTATTTTTATTGTTTATATTTGTATTAAAAGTAAGGAGCCGTTTATCAAATATTTACCTGATAAATGTTTATCGGTAAAATTTAACACTATTATGTACTTATCTAGTAAGATTTTAGTTCACCAAAACGACATAGTATACAACAATTTACCCGGTAAGCGTTTACCGTGGTAAGAGTCGTCGCATTCACTTACCGGGTAAGACTCTTGATCCTTATCTCGCTCTTATCGGGTAAGATTCTTGGTCCTTACTATATTCATCCGGTGAGGTAATGTTACTTGGTAAGCGCTTACCCGGGTAAGCGTTTGGCAAACAGGCCCATGGTTGTGGTGTTTTTTATTAGATTCAATTACGGTTGTTTTATAGTTGTTGAATGATTTGTTGTATGGTGATTAAAAGGCTCTTATGATATATTATAAAATGAAATATGTTTGTTTGGTAATTGTTTAAAATTAAATTATGGCGCTTAATGATTTACGGAGGCTCAAAATACAAAATCATTCAGAATCAGACTTTTTTCACAAAATAAGATAGACCTCTTAGCGATTCAAATACTGGTTCTTAATAAAAAAATATTAAGAGGTAAACAAACCCCCTCTAAAACTTCAAAAACTAATATAGATCTAATTTGTTGAAATTTACATTAGACAAATGAAATGAAATAAAAATATATAAATTCCATAATTGAATTACCATTTGTAAAAACTATAATGGTACTCGTGCAATGCAGCGATATACATCTCTATTTTAAATTTTATTTTGTTTTGTTTTTTGTCTCAGTCAATGTTATAATACAGTTTTATGCGATTTTGAGAAACGATAATTGTTTTTATTTTTGAATAAAATATAGATATGAATATATCATAAAAAATTTAAAAATATATTATTGATATTAGTACCAAACTACCAATTTAAAATTTCTCTTTTTTGTGTAATTTCTTTAATTCATTTTTTTTTTATTTTTGCTTTGATAATATAATATTTATAAATATAATAATTAAATATTTTGTTATAACTCAATGATTATTGTAATTGTATTTTAATTTTTATATTTAAAATGAGATGTTTATCCTCTATTTGATTATGTTTATCTGTAGTTAGTTACACGAATTCAAAGATGGAGCTTTAATCAATTGTACTTACGCACAATTTACTTGTAATCTTGAACTTTAAGTAATATGCATCAATAAACAGTGTTTAATGCATAAAAAATGGTTTTTAAGAGTTTTTATCAAATGTTTTATAATATAGTACAGATAAAAACATTAATAAAAATGTTGATGGATAATATTGCATTAAATTTGATGCTAAACAATGCAATGGATGTTTACTTCTTCTTCTTTTTTGTTACACTGTCTAATATAAGTTGTTTGTCTGCTTGACGGATGAGAGATCGTTGGGTTTAAGTGAGCTAAAGAGGGAGGGTTGGATTATCTTGAGGGATTTTTTTTTATATATATTTGTTTGGAATGGCTTAATGGAGCCTATAATAAGGGGTTCTAACTTATTCCACATGGTCATTTTAACTTAGGAGGTGTTTGTGATTGCTTATTTGAAATAACTTATGTTTTTCTACAAAAGTACTTATCAACTTATTACAAGTTATAATGGTTTAACTCCTTCAAAAACTATTTAATGTCGGTTTGGCACCGGTATAAGTTGTTTACCCAAACACTCAAAAGTGCTTATTACCGGTACCACACCGGAATAAGTCAATAAACTGTTTTAATAAGCAATCCCAAACATCGCTTTAATGACTTAATAATTAAACTGTAAATAGAGCAATCACACATGGATAAGCGAATAAACTGTCTATAGACCATTATGCTTGTAACACCCTCATACTCCACATTTGCATAAAACACATATTTCATTACATAGAAACATGGATTACATCAAAAGGTCCCACTAGTACAWGGATTGCTATATGTACAAAATCTACATATAAAATTTCCAAAACAAATCATGTACTACTACATGTAATATAACATGTATCTTCCAAAAGCAGACAATAGGTTAGGAAAATAATCACATTTTCCCTTTCCCTTTTATATCCCCGGACCCAGCTATTCCTGCATTGCATAATTTAAAACAAAAAATGAGGATTAGACCATACGGGTTTAGTGAGTAAATCCCCTATTTGCAAATGCAGGGTGACGAACACCAAAATATGATAATGTAATTTTGGCTTAGAAATATACTGCAATATAACAATTGATGCAGCTCACAATATCATGCAAAAAGAAGTATATCCAAGAACCTCACTTCTTTAAAATATCTATAAACAGAGATCTAACATTTCCAGTATCAAAACTTTTGAATTAAAATATCATTCCTTTAACAGGAAAGATTTAAGGCAAAACTTGTCTGATATGACAAACAATTTTCTCATTCTCAATAACATCTAAATTATTACTTCTAAATAGGAATAATATATTTAATTCATCAGGTCACAAAGAAATGATGATCTAAAGTTATTAAATCCAATTTAGTAATAATAATAAGAGTCATAATAATATCCACATATGACAATGACACCCTTATTCCAAGTACACCTCTCCTTGATATGTCACCCTTATTACTCCAATAAAACAGAGCTACTTATCAGAACAGACATAAGTCACCACATCTGAAAGTACTCATTCCCAGTTCCAAGCCAGAACAGACAAAAGTCACCACGTCTGGGGGAACTACCATTTAAAACTCACTTCCATACCAAAACAGACTTACGTCACCATGCTTGGTAGGAAGGTTTCTCAAAATATAGTTTCGTACCAAAACAGACTTACGTCACCACGCTTGGTAGAAACATTTCCCAAAATCTCGTTCTAATACCAAAACAGACTTACGTCACCACGCTTGGTAGGAACATATCATTTATTTTAAAAGATATAAAATAATCATTTTATGAATCATAAATAATTAAACATTAAAAACTTATATAAAATCTTCAATATAAAACTATCCAGACAAGTTATCCGGATTTGAAGTCCGGACAACACTGTYCCCTTTTGTCCGGTTTACTAATCCGGACAACACATCTCAATTACTTGTCCAAATTATTCAACWTTGTCYGGATRCTAGTCCGGACAACACATCACACCTTCATTGAACGGTTTAACACTTAGAATAAAATTCATATTGAACGGATAACAAATCCTGTCAACAGTCTGTTCAAGACTCATCCGGTTTAAGACTAAACCGCTCACCACTTAACCGGTTTACCAACTACGGTCAACAAACCGCTCAAGGTTTGTCCGGTTTATACTTGTCCGGTCACTAAACCGCTCAAGGCTTGTCCGGTTTAAAACAATTTGGTCAATAAACCTCTCAAGGCTTGTCCGGTTAACACTTAGATAAAATAAACATGCTTTCTTTTCAAATATGAACAATACGAAACATGCAATTGAAACCAGTAAAATCTTTATACAAAAAGGTTTAAAAACCACTCACCTTATAAAGCTTTTGACACCAAAACACTATAAATCAATCATTTTGAAACTTTGACACTTGAAATCAACTTGCAAACACCTCTTTTTTGCTAAACCGGACAACACTCTTCTTCCAAAACCTCTCAACTTTCTTAAGATAGCAGGGAAATGAATGAGGAGGTTAAGCCCCCTTTTATACCTCCCAAATAGGGAAGGTCGGCTAACCGCCTTCCTCCCCACCTTCCACCTCACACTTTGACACATAATCCATGCATACATACATATCCATAATAATCATATATATATATATATATATATATATATATTCAATGACTTCACAAATTCTCATACCGGCATGTACCAATTATCATGCAATCACGTAATCATTTAAATAAGATAATCACGTATTTAATACCTTAGATAATAACCAGGATCTGGTTATCACAATGCTCATTAAGCTATAAGTAAACATCCCTACATCCTCATACTCTGCTATATTCATCCTCATCCATGTTCACTTACTTAAAATTGAACCAAACTCCTCCTTAATGAATGATTTAACAGTCATTCGGATCATTTAAGGCCTGATGGCTTTATGCATCCATTGCTATATTACAGTTTGAACTGAAAAATATAAAGTTTGTTATTATAAAAGGATATAACGATCTATAATGAAGTTCTTTTTACTGTGTTATAAAAATGTCTTAAAATTTAAGTTTACAATTTATTACTGTATATGTTTAATTTCTTAAAACTTTACATTTGAACTACATATAAATAACAGATAAACATGTTTTTTTTATTAACCTGGATATCCAACCCGTTATGCGAGCCGACTAATCTCAGGGCGACCACCTGCTTTGCAGATAGCCCGGAATCACCGTATTTGAAACTTCTGTGGCCACAAGGGGATTTTTATTCCTCTTTTGATTTGAACTTAAGACCTCCTGGTACTTTTGACATTTGAAGCAAAGTTCAAACCAATCAGACACCACCCTTGTGGTTAAAATGCATACTAAATGTTGAACTTCACTAACATGTCATAATACTCAAAAGATAAAAACTAAAATAAATGACATTTTTTTACTTATAAATTTAAAATAATTAAATTATAACAAAAATTGAATTAAATAAATTGTAAAAAAAATTATATTAACTGGTTTTTTTTGGACAAAAAGTTGACTACTGATAACTCCAACTAACACAAGAAAACCTGTCTCAAAAAAATCAATGTAAATGAGTAAATTTCTTTAGTTCACTCAACAGCCGACGCCAACGAGGGACCTGAGAGTAAACCTATAACTATTTTATATTTAGATAAATTCATCTCATTTCTTTGCAAAGTGATCAATATATTTCAACGCTACATCTTCAATCCCATGTGTAATTTTTAGCTTTATTTAACATAAATTTTGAATTTGTAATTGTAATTGTAACATACCAAAATTTTCGAAAACTTAAGTATAACAAAACTAGTATCCCAAGATCAAACACTTACACTGCAGTGGAAATAAAATTTATAATCTTACAATTTATATCACTATCTAAATTACAATCTTGAGGAGTATAACTTTGTTTTATATAACAATGTCTTGATCTGCACATATCCTTCTTTGGAGCTAATCCTTATATCTCTTCATTGGACTTTTCTTTCCACTCAAAAGTCGCCTGGGTAAAAAAATTTAAAAGAGTTTTGGGTGAGCCTTAGACCCAGTGAATCCACGGTTTTCATGCATGAACAACAACTTTTATAATAAACAATTTTCTCGAAGCTTCATAAATTAGCATGCCTTGATGAGAATAATATTTTTCACAAAATAAATATATTATAGTGTGTGTCTACATTACAAAACAACGACGTCATGAGAGATGTCTACCTCACACAGCATTACCTGGCGAACTCACACAGTATGTCCGCACTTACGGCTTAGACAAGCTCACAAAGCATGCTCGTCTTTACAAAATCATACCGTAGTACATCCTCATTGACACACCAGTACTCTAAGCACATATTATAAAAATATCGAACTTTTCACGCATATGTAGCATATAAAAAATCTCGAGAAACTTCAAACCACTTTTGGATAATAAGGCATGCAATCATTTTAAAAATAAACCACGTGTAACTCACCATATAGGTCATAACTTCAAACCGTTCCTCGAAGTTCCTCATGTTCTCCCAAAAAACGCATCAAACTTGTTGCGCTTCACCAAATCATCCTCATCTTTCACCTCACTTATACGAGTTTCTGTTGGTCCCAAAAGGGTCTACAAGAATACTAAACAGTTTGTAGAAGGGGGGGGGGAT